CATGCATTATGTCCTGTTTTGCTAAATCAAAGCTCAGTTGTTAAGAATTCCCTTTCAGGCCTCGGCTTCGTTGCAACTCCCTTTCTGCTTTTCTGCACAGCAACAGGGGCAGCTTCCTACAGACTTATAGTTAGGTAATAACTGAAAAGAATGCCATACTTGAGAATTAGTTCATCAGTGGTCAAGAGTGAGGCCATTTACCACTGAAAAGCGAAACATACTCAGTTCTGACCACTACTCAACCCTAAAAAATCAAAATTCCAGTTTTATCTGCTTTACTTCTAGCCCTCAAAACAACATCTTCCATTTTATCGTACATACCATACAATTCAGATCATAGAGCTCAAAAAAACTAACTTCGACAGCTAAAATCGTCATATAACGGTAAACAACACGACTCAGCTAAAAATGGCAGATGAACACCAACAACCATTTGAAGTTACACAAAAATACCTGTGAAACTTGAGTTTCTATTTCATTCGGCTCTTCACCTTGCGGCTTTATCAGTTTAATGGTGGTTGTCATCTCAAAACGAAGACTTGTTAATCAAAACAGTACTATAGAACAGAACTTACCTTAAATTTAACATGAATCGTCGAAACGAAACCCTAAACTTGCATTCATTAACATACCCGAAACGTCAATTCACAAATTCGAATATATGATCGAGACGAAGACAACATACATTCGAATAACGCATACGGACTTGAAAACCTGTACCTGCAAAGTTCAACAAAACCTACGCCGTTTCTTCCTAAAGCCTGCAAACCCGTTCGCGTATTCTCCAACTCTGCACTGTCATTAATACCGTAACCGCTTTCTATCAAGTAGCTCTGGATGTAACACTTTTGTCATAAGAAGCTGCACATGAGTAGCAGTACTGAAATGTATGATTGAAACTGATTGAAATTATAATACTCATTGACATATCCTACTATTTAAAAGGGGGGAAAATGTTAATGAGACTCACCTTGGAAATATTTCTGAAGCATTGTCGTTACCGTTGTCTATGCTTTTGGATCACATTCGCATTTTGATGCGGAGTTAGAACACTGACGACTTCGAAATTTGTAAGCGTTAATAACTTAAAAGTTATATTTGACAGATATACTTTGTTCAAATTATGAGTTAAATATGATTATTTTGTGAGATACATTCTATTTTTTCTTATGTTCTGCTATGGTTGTCACAAAAAACGATAAGGCGACAGAACTTCAAAACTAGACACGTGGAAAGAAGTTGAAGCATGCGCTTAAAGTAATAAAAATGATTATGTTACGAATTCAATGTACTTATCTTCAGTTCGATAAGTCAAACATAAGTTAGTGTGGGAAGCAGCATACAACACGGATTATTTATACACATCGGAAATAATTTGGTCAAATGGGTGATTGACCAATATCGGCATTATAGACCAGGTGTCACTGAACTTTATCAAGTTAAGGAGGTGTGTTTGTTTTTGAAGTCACTTTTGTCGCTTCCAGCCATTACGGTTTATAGGAAAAAGGTTTTGTCTCCAAGTGCCACACGTGATGTTATTTCCTTTTCATCTCTATCTTCCATCGTCTTTCGGGTCGCGAAGGCAGACGCGTAAGACAGAGCTTCCAACGCTCCAGATTCTGTGCCAGAATCAGAGCATCGGCAGAAGACAACTGGAGTTTGAAACAGACTCCTTCCATACATTTGCGCTAAGTTAATCTTGGCCGTTCCCTGGGTTTACTGCAGGGCGGATTCGAAAGAAATATTTGCTTATTCTTCCTTTCTGGAGGCATTCGCAATACATGACCAAACCATAGCAGCTGCCACTTCTCAATCTGGAGACTCAAATGCTGTACACCAAGGCTCTTC